TTTGGGATGCAGGAAAGGAAGACACCACTTTCACTTTTTATTTTCGTTATTATTCATTACTGTAACTCTGACTCTGCTACACTAACAGGATGCTGGGCAGCTTGTTTGTCTCCCCGGCGGCAGGGAAGGCGGGTGTGGAGCATTCCTGTGACCCTGGATATTAACTCCTCCGAAAGGCTGAGCTGAGGGACGCGGTTTATTTTCTTTAACATGCAATTTCTGTGCTGGAGCAAGTTCAGAGGGACAATCTCCAGCCGTGTCAATGGCCGATAAGAAGAAGAATGGTTTGGCAGAGCAGATTGCCCCCAGAGTGTCTCCACTTTGCAGCAGCACATCCTGCGAGGGGATGGGGGGAGGCTGCAGCCTGACCCCATCTCACCCCACCCTACTCGTGTCCACAGCACTTTAGCCTTGAGTTTAATTACTGCTTTGAGCCAAGGTGGTTAGAGCTGTGGGTTTGGTCGCCTCTGGCTGTGGATGACATCGCAGCAGAGTTTTTTGATCTCTTGATGCAATGTTTCCTCCTACGCCTCCAGTGTGTCATGGCCAAAAACCCCAAGAGCCATCAGGAATAATGGGGAGGAGACACACATAAACCTGGATGAGTGCAGAAGGTGTGGCTGCTTGAGGTACTGAGCTCTCAGGAAAAAAAACTAAGTAGTCATTTTGGCACAGCCCTGAGTTTGCAGCACTGTTTCCCATCACATCTCCTGTTTTTTTCCCCCTTTCCAAGCCAACACATGGTCTAAGCTGCACCTCTCCCATCCCTTCTTGCAGCTGTTCCTGGAGAAATACGGCTACTTCGGCAAGCCAGGGGCCAGCACACACAGCCCTGCCGAGTTCACGGAGGCCGTGAGGTATGAGCCTTGGACTTGAAACTGCAGCTGTGTGGATGCTGCCAGCACTCAGAGGGTCTTTTTGCAGCCAGAGGGGTCTTTTTGCAGCTGGAGCCTCTCTCTCTCACGGTCTGATGCTAAAGCACAACCAGTCCTTTTTGGAAACGCCGGTCTGTGCCCGGCTCCCACAGCTGGCTGCTGGCACCCGGCGCTCGCCGCGCTGCTTTATTTGCCTTTTATGGCCCGGTGCTCCCCTTGCAGTAATATCTGCAGGGAGGCCGAGGTTGGGGAGGGCTGGGAGATGTCAGGGGGGTGAGCTGCCAGCGTCAGCTTGGACTTCTCCTAAGGATATCACATTGGCCCTGGGAGCATCCCTGGCCTGACCCTGCACAAGGTCAAGTGCAAAGTCAAGCAACTGGGGTTAAAATCTGGAAAAGGCATTTTTTAGGCTCTTCTGTCTGCATTTTCCCTGCTAGGAGTTGACTTATTGGTCAGCTATGGTTGCAGAGCCAAATCCTTGTTTTACCACCTGGATGGATTCCTGAAGCTTGCTGGCTGAAAACCTTGGCTCAGATCAACCCCCTGGCACAAACATAACCAAAACTCCCGATGGCAGGTCTGGATGTGGGCGTTGATATCTCCCTTCCTTTTCCAGGGACTTCCAGCGGGTGACCCACCTCCCACTCAGTGGGGTGCTGGATGCCCCCACGCTCCACCAGATGGCTTTGCCACGGTGTGGCACAGATGATGGGAAGAGCCGTGTGGCCAGGACACACTGGGCATCGTCCACCCGGCGGCACAGACGCACCACGCAGCACGGTGAGCACCCACGGGGTCCTGGTGGGGTTTGGGTTCTGGGATACTGCCAGCCCAGCTGTCCCATCCTGGATTGCTGAGGATGCTGCTGTAGATAGGAGATGCAGCCTTGCCAGCTCAGCATCCATCCCAGGACCTGCTGAGGTTTTGCAATGCTTTATTTTTATACCTCTTTATTTTTAGTTGTTCTGTATGGCTCAATGCCAGCAGTGATTAGAGATGCAGCTCCCACTCACAGGGAAATTTGGCTCTCTGGGGTGGTTTGCTGCTCTTGAGGGAGCCAGGACATGTCCCGAGGAGTGGTGAGGTCACCATGGCCCCACACACAGCTGTGGTGGCATGATCCAGAGGGCAAGGACTGGCAAACTGAAGTTATCTCCAGGTTTTGCAGAGCTTTGGGACTTCTAACATGTGTTACTCACCCAGCAGAAACCACAAAACCTGCCAGCACTGGGCTGCCTGGCCTCAGGGAGTCGTTCCACCCATGTTCAGGGGTTTAACTCTGCTCCAAGCATCCTTCTGTTCTCCTGTGTCCACAACTGGGCCTCTTGTCCCTTGTGAGGCTTGCAGATGAGTAACTGGATTCCTGGAGAGCAAGAGGGCCGGGGCCAGCTGCGCTTAGGACATGGGAAAAATGAAGGCAAGATTAAGAAAGGGCTCTGTGCCGTGTCAGGCTGTCTCTGCATCTGGCAGGGCTGGCGATGGATGACCTCAGGAGAGCCCTGTCATCCTCCCCAGCCTCTGGCTTTCCTTCCAAAGCCCTGATGTGCAGCATGGCCCTTGCAAGAGCCATCCCACTCCCAGGGCAGGTGGGCAGTGAGGCAGGGTGGGAAAGGCATACAGCAGGAGATGTGCACACAGGAGCAGCCAGTGCCCTGCAGCTCATGGGGCTCCCTTTTGGGGATCACAGTCCCTGGGTGGGTGGCAAGAGATGCCCAACGGCTCTGAGCCCAGGCAGGGAAGGCTCTGTGTGGCACTGGTTATTACTCTAGTGGTCTGGTGCCACAGGCAGCAGGGATGGGAGCAACAGCATATCAGTGCCACAGGCTGGAGGGGAAGGAGGGTGTCTGCAGGGCTGCTGGCACCAGCCAGGAAGGCTGGAGACTTTGTGCTCCAGGAAGGCTCTTTATCCTACTTGACAGTGGCAGGAAACCACTGCAGCTGAGCTAGAAAAGTGCTTTGTTATTCACCCCTCTCCCAGCAGGATCTTCACTAGGCAGTCACCATGTCCATCATCCCTCTGTGCTCAGACACACTCGTACCCTGGTGTGTGGGCAAAAGCCAAACCCTTCTCTTCCCAAGAGCTGGTCCAGTTTGGCTCACCCAGTGTTGCCTACAGGAGCCATCTATCTTCCTCCAGTGGGAGACATTCTGCCCCCGTGGAGGGAAGGATGGGATGTCAGGGCTTTGTTTTAGGGCTGGAGCCATCCAGGCAGGGTATGTCCCAGCTGGTGGAAGCACAGCCACATCCCTTTGGAGTTGTCCTTGCACCGACAAGCAGGGTGAACTGATTCTTCCCCCAGGAGCATGACCAGCTGGCCCAGAGCCTCCCCTGCCATGGGCTGCTCAGAAGTGGGGGGAGAAGGAAGCAGATCTGGGGTGGGATGTCTGCCAGGTTTGCCGAGGGGCTTGGCTCAGACCCAGAGCAGAGAGCCTCGGTGTGCTGCTGGCTCAGTTCCCCCTATTCCCCTGCACATCTGGAGCAGACACAGGTGCTGGAGATCTGTCACTGCTCCCACACCTTGGCACTGCCTCTGTCACCCACCTCTCCCTAGGGGCCCTTGGCATTTTTCCTGCTCCCAAACACCCCCAGCTAGATATAATCCTGGGACTCTGAGACCTCCACAGATGCCAAGGGGTGCTGGAGGAGGAGGAGAAGGCTGTGATACTGCACAGTGTATGAACTCGCATCTTCGGCTCATGTGTGGTAGGAGGAGGGTTGGCAGCTTAGGGTGGGTCACACAGGGTTGTCCCCTTCATCATTGTCATCATCTGTCCTGGTGGCATTTGGGCTTTGTCTCCTCTGAAAGCTTTTAAGGAAGCCTTGGGCACTAAGCCATTGTGCCCCAAGGTGCTGCTGAAAACCCTTCCTACTCCTTTGCCTTTGTCCCACTTGTTTTCAGAGGTGGCTTTGCTTTTTGCCTTTGGTCTGCACCTTCTGAACATGGAGCTGGCATCAGGCAGGAGACCTTCCAGCAGGGACCCATGCTGGACTTGGGTCTGGAGAGCATGCCAGGGGAAGTTTCAAACTGGGTGTCAGCTTCTCCTCTCCCCAAACTCTCTCTTAGGGTTTCATTGCAGCTCCAGCCTTGACAATCTTGGCAAACCCAGGCAGCCCCTGGGTGGAAGAACAAGTCCAGGTCCTTGTCAACGTGCTGAACTCGCCCCTGTTGCAGGTGGGAGGTGGTACAAGCGGCACCTGACGTACCGCGTGGTGAACTGGCCCTCCTACCTGCCGCAGCACGAGGTGCGCCTGGCGGTCAAAGCTGCCTTCGAGCTCTGGAGCAACGTGTCCTCGCTGGTGTTTTGGGAGGCACAGGATGGCCCTGCTGACATCCGCCTGACCTTCTTCCACGGGGACCACAACGATGGACTCAACAACGCCTTCGATGGACCAGGTGCTGGTCTTTTACAGTAAGCTTCTCTTTTACAACGTGGGCTCTTCCCCGGCAGGGAGAAGGTCTGAGGCAGCAGTGGGCTGGGGGGGATGTCTGCCCTAGCAGTTCCTCTAACCCATTTTGCACCAGTTTGCTTCTGATTTGAAGCCCTCCCTCCCAACTCTGCAACTGAGGTTTGCCAGTGAGGCAGCTGAGATATTCCTTAGAGGGCCATGCTGATGCTTTCAAGGAGCCTTCAAGGAGCCCTCCCCACCTTGACAGCATCCTCCAAACCTGGGCTCCTTCGGAAAGAGCTAAAACCAATGCACATTTAGGCAAACCAGAGCTGCCTGTGTCCCCTGCCCCATGGTCCCTGATGGCTCTCATGTCCCCAGGAGGTGCCCTGGCTCATGCCTTCTTCCCTCGGCGTGGAGAAGCCCATTTTGACAGCGCCGAGCGCTGGTCCCTGCACAGCGGCAAAGGGCGCAACCTCTTCATCGTGGTGGCACACGAGGTTGGGCACACACTGGGGCTGGAGCACTCCCCTGTCAAGAGTGCCCTGATGTCTCCCTACTACAAGAAGCTCAGCAAGGATTTTGTCCTCAGTTGGGATGACATCTTGGCTGTCCAGAACTTGTATGGTGAGCCTGGCTTCCCTGACCATCTCTTGGTTCCTCTGGGGCTGTTCTCTGGGATGGAGAGTGAGTAGTAGGGATGGGAGTGGGTCCCTGCAAGGGGAGAGGACTACATGCAAGGGACAGAGTGGGGGGATGTGGGAGGGCATGTGAGATGGGTACCCGATCCTCCAGGGCAGGGAAACACTGGTGCATGTTTTTTGGGGTAACATGTGATCTTTGCTACCAGCACATAGAAGGGGACAGAACCAGACAGTGGGACAAGGAGTGTTTGGAGTCCTGGGACAGCTCCCTAGCCCTGTGCTCTGGGAAAAGTCATTTCTCTGCCCCTTCTCTGCAACTTTTCATCCCTTGCTCCATTCCAGGGAAGCCCTCCAAGGGCTCAGCCATCCAGCTCCCAGGAAAAGTCTTTACTCACTTCCAGGACTGGAACACAGACCTTTACAGCAGGGACCAGCAGCAGAAGAGCCTCAGCACCTATTACTGCCACTCCTTCTTTGATGCCATAACCACTGGTGAGTGTTGGCCACTGTGACCCTCTCCCAAAACAGTCACTCCTACCCCTTACCCTGGCACTGCCACAGCCTGTTTCTGCTCTGATAATCTCCAGTGGTGGGAAAGGTGGGTTTGGCTGATCCACAGCCCCATACATGCTCCTGAGGCTGATAGCATTGTTGATGCACATTGTGCCCACGGTGCAGAGTGCATCTTGAGGGTATGGCAATGGCTTGGTTTGTCAGGAGCAGGAAAAATATCCTAGAACTTGGGCCATGGTAAGGATTATTTGCTGCAGGGGCTCAGCTGTGAAAGATGAGCTGTAATTAGCTTTCTGCACTCCGGGCTGGAATGGAGGCAATGAATTACGAAAGCTGAGGGGGCAGCTGGGGAGGCAGAAGGGAATATTTAAAACCTGAGCATCCTCTAAGCACCACAGAGCTCCACAGGGAGGAGATAAGAACCAAGAAGCAGGAGATGGGGTGAAGTTTCTCACCCAGGACCCTCTCTCTCCTCCCTCTGCCACACAGATGCAGATCACAACCTCTACATCTTCAAGGGCAGCCACTACTGGGTGGTGTCAACAAATGGCAATGCCAGTGACCCACAGCCCCTGCAGAAACTCTGGCCTGGCCTCCCCCCTGGCATTGACGCCTGTGCCTGGTCCCAGCTCAGTGGCAAGTTTTACTTCTTCAAAGGTAGGTTCGACGCCTGTGCCTGGTCCCAGCTCAGCAGCAAGTTTTACTTCTTCAAAGGTAGGTGAGGCCCTGGGCAGGGCAGATCCCCTTGGGGCTGCTGCTGCTCCTGCCTGTGGGGCTGGTTATCTGGGTCTGGCTGGAGCACCTTCTCCTGCCTGTGTCCCCTCCCAGTGCAAAGTTGGGGCATCACTGGGTCCTGGGTGTGCTAAACCCTGGCCTGGGTGCCTGCCATGGATGAACCATATGTCCTGGGGCATATCACCCTGGCAGACTCAGTTCTCATTCTCATATCACCTCCTCCTGCCTCAGTTTCCCCATTATCCCATTCAGGAAAGCAATGTTCACCTGTGTGTCAAAACACAGCTAGGTACATCAAACCCCACGTGGTCTCTTGTGTGTCAAAACAAAACTAGGTACATCAAACCCCACGTGGTCTCAGGGAGAACACACTCCCCAAAGACACATACAGCTCAGGCTCTCAGGGGAGCTGAGTGTGGTGTTTCCCTGGTACCCTGCATCATGCCAGGGGCTGAGCTGCCCCAGGAGCTGGAATGCCATCCATAAACCACCCGGCAGCGTGCCGCAGCCGGATGGGGAGAGGAAGGTCAAACCAGGCAGCCTGGCTGCCACGGTCAGCTCAGGCTTTTAATGGAAACCAGTTGCTGGTTCTTCAGAAAAGGGGCTTTGTTGCTGCAGTTGGGTGGGAGCCAAAGCCCCTCTGCCTCCCCAGCCCTCACCACTCCCTCCATCCCTCCTCAGGGCTGGGTCAGGCTGTGGCTCACGAGCAGAAAGAGGCTTTTGTCTGCCTGCATCATGGGCACAGGGAGCTGTGGGGACAGGGTGCTGCAGGGATGGCTGGGCCATCAGCCCCTGTCACGATTCCAGTTCCCCCAGCCCAGGTCAGATCTGCATTCATCTGTCCCATTCACTGTGCAGGCACAGGGGGAGGTTTGCAAGGAGCCAGCATGGTGGTGGCCTTGCTGTGTCCCTGACAGTCCCTTTCCATGCCTTCAAGCCCCTGAGCTACCATGGTACAGTTTTCCCCCATCCTGGTCCTTGGGGCAGCCCTGGAGCAGGTTGGGGCACCAGTGGGGTGGATGTCACAGATACATGTCAAGGTCTGCAAGGCTGACCCTGTGGCTGAGTCCTCCCACATGTCCTGCAGCTGGTCCTGCACTGAACCCCACTGTGATGGGCTCTAAGCCCTGCCCATTTCTCCCCAGGTGGCCGATGCTGGCGCTACAAAGGCTCCAGCTTGGAGGCAGGTTTTCCCCAAAAATGCAGCGCGCGGGGCCTCCCTCGGCACCCCGACACCGCGCTCTACTTCCAGCAGCTGCGGCGCCTGGTTCTCTTCAAAGGCCCCAAGTACTTCGTGGTGAGTGAGGAGACCCTCAGCGTGGAGCCCTACTACCCTCGCAGCCTGCGGGACTGGGAGGGGCTGCCCCCGGGCACGGCTGGTTCCCTCACCCGCCGCGACGGCTTCGTCTACTTCTTTCGGGATGACCAGTACTGGCAATTTGACCGGGCAAAGCTGCAAGTGGTGGCCACTGGCAAATGGGCCACACAGCTGCCCTGGATGGGCTGCTGGGATGCAAATGGTGGGCAGGACCTCTTCTGAGAGAGCATTCTGGATTGAAACAGGGGGCTGAGCCTCACCTCGCTCACCACTGCCTGCATCCCTCTTCATGTGACTCTGGATTCCTGCCTGGGATGGTTTGCAGGGAACGGCTGCCTGTGGATGGCAGGAGCCATGGGATGGTGGAGTGGTGTCCCAGAGCAGCATGGATGCAGCTGGGACAGGTCTGCCTCAGCCAGGTGGGCTGAAGGCTTTGGGAGACAGTATTTCTGTAAAAAGACCACAAGAAAAGAGGTATAAGCCATGGAGACTGCAATCACACCCATTTCAGTTAATGTTCAGGATATTGTTACACTTTTTTTCAAACCAGAACTGGGGTTTGTTGATACTTTTTGATATCTTTGTTGATACTTGTTGATATTTGTTTTCCCATGGTCAGGTGGAGAAGTGCCTCAGTGCAGCTTGGTTTGGGGTTTGGATGGTTTTAAATAAGAGACGGGGGATGTTTCCTGCTTAAAACAAAAGAAAAGAGACATTTGGACAAAAATTTGGGTCTGTGCTGAGCTTTGCCCTTGCTGTGTGTGTAGAGTCCCTGGAATGGTGGGGACATCCCAGTGCTCCGGTGAGGCACCAGCTTGAGGCACCAACACAGTGGGATTTTGGGGGAGAAAGCAGAGGGGTTTGGTGTAGTGGACTCTTGGAGGGGAAGGGAGAGGGGAGGCACAGCTGAGCTGCTGGTCATGTCTCTGTGCAACTTGCAAGCAGCAGGAACATTGGCTTTCTGATGGGTTTGGGATGGCTGGGTGCGTTCTCCAGTGTCTAATAAGGGTTGTCCTCACCTAGCAACCTTCCTTGTGTGCATAGGAAGTGTCTGCTCTCTGCTCTATCTCTGTAAGAGACAGGATCAGTGTGTTTTTGAGTCCATGTGCCACATTTGGATGAACAGGGTTGACAAATCACTGGGGGAGGAGGGGGAGAGGAGAGGGAGAGCAGGACAGACTGACATGTCTGTGCATGCAGGCTCACAAGGACAGTGTGACTGCATATTCCTCATTCCTTTCCCAAAGCAGACTCCCCACCTGGAAACGCCGCTGGCTCCTGTACACCGAGTCACCGGTTACGTCTGCAGAGGGTTATCACATCCCTGGGCCAGCAGGCAAGTGTTGGGCTCCCAGGGCTTGAATTCCATGGCAGCAAATGCCATCGGTGCTGAGCAAGACATGGCTCAACTTTATTAAGTTGTCCTTTGATTTGAGAGGTTTGGGGGTTTTCACCATACTGGGGTTGTACACAGTGGCTCTCCCAGGACTCAGACCCCAGCACTGCTTTGGGCTGGTCCTGCTGTGCCAGTGCCATGTCAGGGTGCTGTGTCAGGGTGCTGTGCTGGTGTGCCATGTCAGGGTGCCCTCCCAATGCCAGCAGCTCTGAGGACTCTTTTCTTTAGCACAGCATCCTCTGATCGCCCTCATCCATCCTAGACCTTTGCTGCAGAGATGGCAGGAGCCAGGCTTGCCCCAGGCAGGGTGCCAGGGGTGGTACTTCCCAAGGTGCTGTCAGATGCCAAGTGAGATGTAGGTTTGGCAGGATGGAGAGCTAACACGAGCCATTCTGTCCATTCTCCATGATATTTGTGAATGAGCCCTTCCTGCACAGGCACAGACACGAGGACTTTATCTCCTCACGGCTTAAAACCTCAGGGGACTTTTTATGTTGCCAAAGATATGGGACTGCAGCTTTTTCATTTGGAATTGAATGATAATTGGGAGATATTGCTTGTGGGGAGTCCCAAGGGCTTGAAAACCTGATGGTAAATAAAACAAACCTCTGGATATGCAGCATTGGGATTTCTGCCTGTTTTCATGTCACACTTTGGTTTTGGGTTTTTTTAAAGCAAATCTCCTGTTTCCTGACAGGGCTGTGTTTAAGATGCCTGTGGGTGTTTGAGGCTGGAGTCGGTATTGCTGATTTTGGCCTCAGCTTTTGTGCTTGCTGGATCAGAGAGGGGAGAGAGATTCCATTGAAAACTCACTGATGGTGATGAAAACATGGAAACTCTCTTCCTCACTTCATCCCAAATTACTGAGGATTTTTCCACACCTCGGGGTGTGCTAATAGGGTTTTTTCCTAGGCTGAATTCATGCTGATGGAGGCTCTCCAGGTCTCCACCTTTGCCCCAGCCTATTGTGGTGTGTGAATTGCCTCCCGTGGGATAGGGAGCACCTGAACCAGTTCCCTCAGCTGCCACCAGCTGTGGGATCTGCAGTATGATGCTGGATTGATGGGCTGATTGGGGATTGATGGGCTGACTGGGGATTGATGGGGTGATGTGAGATTGATGGGAAGTGCTGGCAGACAAGGTCTTTCACTCCAAGCACATGCTCTGCACATCAAGCAGGGTCAGGAGAGCAGTGTGATTTCTGTCCCATGTACAGGAGGATTTCTGGGCCTGGCTGTACCTCAGGGGTACTCCACACTTGCAACTCTGCTGAGGAGCACCAGTTCCTTATCCCATTTCATGACCTCTTAGGAGAGAGCCAGGCATCCCTTCTCCCGTAGAACTGGAGGCTGAGGGTGGGACAACCTCAAATTCTCTCCCATTTTGGGATTTTCCTTTTCCTCCCTGGCTTGCTGCCATGTGTTTCCTGTGGTTGTGTCCTGTCGGGATGCCTTGGGGTCCTGAGTGATGCTGCCAGGGCTGTGGCTGAGCACAGCATTTCTGGCAGAGACAGGGTGGCTGTGCTCTATTACCTGCACACCCTGAGCCATGCAATCTGCCCCCCTGGCTGCAAATTCAGCTTCACAAGGGTCCTTTTCTCCTGCTGGGCTCCCTGGCAGGGCATGCCAGGTACAGACTCCTCCAGGCTGCCACACATTCCCCAGACCAGTGGAATAGCTGGGATTCTTGCATTTCCTCCCCCAAAATGACACCAGCTGGACAGTCATCTACAGTGAGCATCAGCAGCTGGGTCCAGGGAGAGGACTGGTCCCTCAACACAGAAAGAAGCTCCCCAAGCCCACGAGAGAGTCTCCCAAGCACACAAGAGGCTCTGTTTTGGTCCTGAGACATGAGCACTTCCCTGGTAGATTTGGTTTTTGTAGAAGTACCTGGATGCTGTGGCAGCTCTGCAAGCCCTGGGTTAGGGAGGGAGTATCCCACATTCCCAGAGGTGCCCACTCATGTGTAGTTACTTCCTTAAAGCCCCAACTCCTGGAGTCACTCTGTCCCTGGACAAGCTCAGCTTTTGCCAAAGACCTCACTGTTGTGGGCAATTTGGGAAGAAGTTTGAGAGGGAGCACAGTGCAGAGGAAAGCCCAAAGGGAAAATCCACCCTTAGGATGGCTAGGGAAGAGCAGGGCTGTGGCAGAGGAGCAGGTGCTGATGGGTTAACAGGGAGTGTTTGCAGCCAGTCCCTTGTCACCAAGGAGAGAGGAACAGCACTTGGGAAGGAAACAAAACACCCACTGCCCAGGAGGGTGATTTCCTTTCCCCAAGCTTCATTACAGCCCTCAGACCCCACAAGGGCTCTGGGCACCAAGAGGACAGTGTCACCATCCCAGGAGGCAGAGAGCAAGTGGCACCAGGTGAGTGTGGGTGCCGGAGAGGTGGGCTGGGCACACAGTCAGGGCAGCTCCCCATGTCCCCATCACCCCTTTCCCTCCATCTCCTCCCAGTCTTATGGCAAAATGTGGGGGGACACCGAGCAAGGCAGTGCGGAGCATCCGTCCCTACCAGTCCAGTCAGCAGTACCTTTTTGCCATGAAGGAGGACCTGGCAGAGTGGCTGAAGGAGCTGTATGACCTAGACATCGAGGTGGGCACCTTCATGGAGGTGCTGGAAACAGGGGCTGTGCTCTGCTCCCATGCCAACAACATCACCCAGGTGGCTGGGGAGTTTGCCCGTGCCTGCCCTGACGTGGCCTGTCACCTCCACCTACCCATGGCTGGTGTTGCCTGCAACCTCACAGCACAGCCAGGCACCTTCCAGGCCAGGGACAATGTCTCCAACTTCATCCAGTGGTGCAGAAAGGAGATGAATATCCAAGGTAAGATGCTAGGCTCCCTTTGCTTTGCCTGTGCAAGGCCACTCTAGCTGCTCCTGATACCAAGTATTTTCCCACATGTCCTCCAAAACCAGTGCCACCCCAGCATGGGGCAGCACCATGTGCATGCATCCCTGAGCTGGGATTCCTTGCACAACCTCCTCTAGGCTTGGCAGCAGTTCTGCAGGGTGCTGGCACACGGCTGGCATGTTTGCTTGGGTGCAAATATGCACTGGAGGGGTGGAAATGGAAAGGGTGTATGGCCCTGCCAGGTATGGCATGATCCCAGCTGTAAGGACAGCAGGAGAAGTCCTGGCTCTGAACAAAGGGTCTGTCACCCTGTCCTACCACCAGTGGATGCCCAGAAAGGGGAATGGCATGGGATGATGGGTCCTCAGGGCACCCAGACATTGAGTTTTGTGGCTTTGGAATGCCATGAAACAGATGCAGATACCCAAGGGGAAAGCTCTCCTTCAATTTATCCCAACTCTTGTTGAACTCAACCACATTCCTAGCTGGATGGCTTCAGTGAATAGCACTCCTTTGGGTGGGCTTTGACTCCATCTGTGTCCCCTTCCCCACATGCTGACTTTGGCTCAGCCCAGCCCTTTCCTGCCCCAGACGTGCTGATGTTTGAGACAGAGGACCTGGTGCTGAGAAAGAACGAGAAGAACTTTGTGCTGTGCCTGCTGGAGCTGGCGCGCCGTGCCGCGCGCTTCGGCATGAGCGCCCCGACCCTGGTGCAGATGGAGGAGGAGATTGAGGAGGAGCTTCACCAGGACCTGGACCTGCCTCCTACAGACACCTCTGTGCCCCGGCCCCCCAGGAAACCACGGGATCTCAACAACCTTGACCAGATGGTAAGGAGGGGCATGGGCATGGGGATGGAGAGGGATGGGGATGGCCATCCCAAGACCTTTCCCAGGAGCTCTGATGAGCACCCATCCCTGTTTTTCACAGGTTCAGCACCTGGTGAGTCGCTGTACCTGCCCTGTCCAGTTCCCCATGATTAAGATATCTGAAGGGAAATACCGTGTGGGTGACTCTGACACCCTCATCTTTGTCCGGGTGAGTCTGCTTCTCCCTGTGCTTTTGGGGCACAGGCACAAGGAATCTTGCTCTGCTGCCATGGTGCTTCTTCATAATCCATCCCTCAAATGGGACCAATGTGAGAGTTTTGATCATTACCCCCAAACCATGGAAGCTCAGCCCTGTGGTACATTTGCATGGATGTAACCATCCACGTGTATGGGACAGCCAGAGCCAGGTTTTATCTGGCAGTGGGAGCACATGGGAAGCTCTGTCCCTGCCTGGATCCATCCCTAAGCCTGGCCAAATAACAGTGGAGAGGGATTTTCCAAAAGGTCCCCACTGTCTCTGGGGTGACGAATTGTGCCTAGTGGGATGGCAGTGGGATCAGGGTCTCTCCTTGCATCCATGCACTGAGCCGGGGATGAAACTTCCCTTTGGGAGACTTGGAGGCACTTGGGGCAGGACCATGGCTCTCCAAGCTCAGCCAAGTGTGCCTCTCCCAGGCTACTAAAAGAGAGGTGGGGGTCCCATCCCTCGCACCTCTCCAGGCCTCACAGCACACGACATCCCATGCAGATCCTGCGGGAACACGTCATGGTGCGGGTCGGGGGCGGATGGGACACGCTGGAGCATTACCTGGACAAGCACGACCCATGTCGCTGCACCTCCCTCTGTGAGTCCCTGTGTCCCCAAACCCCGTGGCTGGGTGAGATGGGGGGTCTGTCCTGATTCTCAGTGCTTCTGGGGCCGTTTCCAGGAGCTTTGGTATAGCCATGCCTTGTTGTTTTGCCGGGGAATGTCTGGGTTTGGGGACTCTTTTTGGCTTTGGTGGCCACTAGAGGTCATGGAAGACTTTTGGATGGAGCCAGACCCCAAAAACCTCTTTGCAGGGAGCACAGTTTTCTGCCAGCATCCTCGGGGGTTTGGATGCTGAGTGATGGCTGGGTGGACTGCACCTGGGGGGGTTGATGCAGTGGACAGGGGTGCTGAGCCCCATCCTGTTTTCCCCACAGCTCACAAACAAGCTTGGAAAACCAGGAGCCCACAGCAGCAAGTGCAGCACGAGGTCCAGCTGTGCCCAGCCTGGAAGGCAGCTGCTCGCAGCCCCCAGCCCACACTGCTGGTCAGCCGCTCGCAGAGCCCCCTGCCCCCCGTCCCCTGGGGGTCCCGAGTTCCCCCTGGCCCCCGGTCCCCTGTCACCCCGCTGCCAGAGGGCTCGGGTCGCCCACCAGGTGCCAGCCCTCGCCGGGAGCCAGCACAGCCCCACAGGGTCCCTTCAGGCAGGTAAGCAGTGCAGAGATGCTTCATGCCCCAAACTGTCTGGTTTCAGAGCAGTTTTTCTCACCTTCTCGAAGTAAATTTCACCCCTCCTTCTGGAGGTGCCCAGCACCAGGCTGGATGGGGGGATGCAGCAGCTCCCTGGCTGCTTCTCTCTCTCTCCTTGTAGGATGCAGGAGCCACAGGCTGTCCCTTTGGGGCTGCAGCCACCACCATCCAGGTCACCTGCTCGACCCAGCTCCCCTGGCTGCAGGACGATGGGCAGGGC